AATGATACCTCAATTAAAAAAAAAAAGTATGTGGGCATGTGGGCCCTCCCTGGTGATGCAGTGGGTTGGAGCACTGCACTGCCAAGCTAAGCCGAGCTGTGGCCACTTCAGTGCGAGTTCGATCCCTGCCCCAGAGGTGACCACATGTCGTGGCAGACCTCTCCTGTATCGCCCGCTGCTCCCCTCAGCAGTGTACTTGATCGATCTGTCTGTTCTGCTCCCCACTGTTTCTGGTGAAGCCTCTCACTGCCCCTGCACCTCTGGCCTGTACCCCATTTCTGTATGCATAAATAAATCTTTTTTTATAAAAAAACATGTGGGACACTTAGTTTGGGAGTCATGTTGTAGTTACTAGAGAACAAAATACATATTTTCTTGAAAGCCTGAAGGAGACGCATACTTTACAACTCACTTGTCTTCAGTCTACTTCCCTTGTGGCCCCTGCTGTTCCCTAGCTACCCGTTTCCTCAATACCCAGCAACTGCCTCAATAGTCAGCAATTTCCTTCCTCTCAACTAGGTCTTTTCCCCTTAATTGTGTGGGTCAACCAAGGCTTGCTGTCCAGCAAAAAGGCCCAATCAGCTTCCCCACACCTGTCCCAATCATCTGAAAGATATTTGAAGTGGGGTGTGGGGACTGGCAATGACAAACTAGGCTGAATTCAGGTGGTCCTTCCTGAATGGACTTGAGAGGAGGAAGCTTCCCAGTGTCATCAAAGCTGCGTTGGTGATAAATTCACGAGGCTTCCTAGGTATGGGCAGCCAACTCAGCAGGACTTTCATTCAACCCACTGGCCTGTGTATCCCCACAAGTGTGAAAGTCCCACTTTGCTGGCCTCAGGTTGCTCAGGACTCTGGGCATTTTTAAAAGATCCTCTGACCGCCCCGCCCCACCCCCACCCCCACTTCACCTCCACCAAGGACCAAGTGGGAATGACTCCAAGGTTGGTAGTAAATGAGGCCTCCCAGTACCAACCCCAAAAGCTGCCGTTTTTTTTTTTTTTTATCATTGAACTTTTTTATTTTCTTATATTGTTCATTTTTGTACAACACTTGATTTCTTTCCTCAGGTGTGGTCCCCATAATCTCCCATTAGCACATCACCCATGTACTGTCACCATAGTTTCCTGTGCTCTTTCCTCCCGTTTCCTCTCTCCTTCCTGTTACATGCCTGAGATCTATAGTTTGCCTTCAAGTTTTTTTTTTTTTCCTTTTGCTCCGTTTCCTGAAATTTCCCCTATAAATGAAATTATTCATTATTTTCCTTTCCCATTCTGATTTATTTCATTGAGCATAATCCCTTCTAGTTCCACACATGTCACTGTGAATGGCATGAGTTTGTCTTTTTTCCTGCTGAGTAGTATTCCATCACGTGTATGTACAGCACCTTAATCCAGTCATCTGTTTTGGGGTTTTTACTTTGTTTCTACATCTTGGCTATTGTAAGTAGTGCTGAAATAAACATAGGAGTGCAGTTTCCCTCTCAAATTAATGTTTTTGTGTCCTTTGGGTAGATTCCACTGGGTGGGCCATAGAGTAATTTGAGGAACCTCCACCCAGTTTCCCACAGTGATTGGACCAGTTTGCATTCCCACCAGCAGTGTAAGAGGGTTCTTTTTTTTCCCACATCCTCGCCACAAGCTTCCCTCTTCTAGGAAAAACTTTGGATTTGAGAGAAGCTGTCCCCAGCTATTTCAAACCTATTTCTGACTACCTCTGCTATCAATCCTATTTTCAAAATTTGGGGTGATGAAAGCTTTCCAGAAACCTCAGTAACAGCTTCATTCACTCACAGACATGTGACTGCTAAAGATCAACTGACCCCTACAGCCAGAAAGGAGAGAAAATTACTAGATGGAGACCTAGTTCTCAAAGGCAATCACCTTTCAAAACTCAGGTGCCTTGTTTACTGGCTTTGGATTCTTAAAGGGTTGTTAGTTTCATACCTCCAAAGTGACTAACACAAAAACAAACAATAAAAATCATCTATGAAATCTACTTTCAAGCTCTCATAAACCCTGGGCCCACCGTTTGTATTCATGGTCCCAGTGAAAGCAACGCACACATACATACACAACACAACACACACACACATCCTGTGGGTATGTGATTGTATAGGTTTGCATGTGTGTGTGTGTATGTATAGTGTCTATGAGTGTATATGTATATATCTCATAAATTCCATAATTCCTTCTGTGGACACTGGGTCACATTAGGTTTCCTAAAAGAAACAACTGTCGCATGTGTACAGCTACCCCCATCATGCGCTTTTTTGCCCACAGGCCTGGAGCTATGACCAATCATGACCTCAGGCACCCATCTCCCTGCCTCTGTCTTTTCTCTGCCTTTGGCCACCAGATGGCATTCTGGAAACATTCTCAGCACCAGGTTTTTCTGCACCAAAGCTCCCCCGCATTTCCCCTAACTGGCCTGGCTCCCTTCTCTGTGTTCTCTCCCAATCCACGTTTCAGAATGCAGCCAAGGGGTTTTCTGAAAGGCTAATCTGTGGTTGTGGACACAAGATCTAGCCCTTCTCGCTCAGCTTCCTCGCCCCAATGGCTGGCATGCAAGAGGCACAGGACGGGGCAGGAAAAGCGCTCAGGATGAGGCCCAGCAGTCACTGCTGCTCTGTCATTATGATCAGAGCAAGACCTGCCCAGGCTTTCAGGACAAGGTCTGAATACTCTGCATGGCCGAGTTCTCCTCCTCACAGGATCCATTGGTGTCCTCGGCCCACGTTCCTCCTCTCCACTCTACACACAGACCCTTTTGCAGCACTGTAAGGAATCAGCTCACCTATCTCTAGTCTTTGTCCAGTTTCCTCTGCTGCCTTATTTTGGTAACCTCCTGCATCCTGCATTCAGCTGGGTACCCTCTGTGTAAAACCTCTGGAGTTCCCAGGCCTGGATCCAGAGCTACTCTGCTGGGTCCACTTCTTCCCTTTCCCAGACTGCAAGTTCCTTGGGGGTCACTTTGTTTTGCTGACTGCCTCCAATATGGTAGGATCAGCCAGGCCTCGCCCAGAGGCTGCCCTGCTGGCTGTTATCACCAGAGTGCACGGAGGCTCTGGCACTCTCAGAGCTCAGCAGTCAGGGGCCTGGGGTCTGTGCTGGCTTCCCCAAGCCTGGCTGGCACCTGGTCCAAGCCTGAGCTGGGCGAACCGTGGGAAATGAGCTTTCATGGTCAGGGCAGCAGAGAAAAAAGAAAAGGGGAAAATGCAAGACCCTCTTTGCCATTGCAAAGGAGGCATAAAGACCTGGGAAATAAAGGTGGAGTGGCAGTCTCCTATATTGTTTTCTCTTCACCAGGCACCATGCTGCGTGCTTAAATCCATCATCTCACTGAATCCTTGCCGCAAATGCAGGAGATGGGGAGCAGGACACTTGACAAAGAAGGAAGGAAGATGAGACCGCAGTGGGCTTAAGTGACTTGGGCAGTGTCTCAGAGCTTGCACTTCTGTCTCCAAAGCTATGCTCCAATGACCTGAGGATCCAGGCCCTTGATCTGATTCAATGGGCATCAGAGAGGACATCTCCAGGAACGGAACAGGGGGTGAAAGAATAGGGTTGTGGGAAAGAAAAAATCTGAGGGGAAAGCGAGTGAGATACTTCTTAGGCCTGGGGCTCACTTAGCCAGCCCAGTGCTAACAGACATAGGCCTCCATGCCAAGGACCTGATTTGTATCCAAGTGGAGCACTTCTGCCCAAGGGCTGAGCTACAAACACCCATCTAGGAGGATCTGGCCCTTTATTACCTTTACTTCGAGTTCTTTACAAACTTCTGGACTCAGCCTGGATATAGGGGCATGGTTGGGAGACTGCTGGGACAGCAAACTGAGGAGGGACATGAGAAGTAGCAAGCCACCTCGAAGGCCACCCAAGCAAACTGCCCACTGGTCCCCTTGCTCTGCAAGGAGGTGATGGGAGGGAGGGCATACCTGACATACCTAGGGGGAGTGTTGGGGACAGCATAGGAGTTAGCCCTCCTGGGAATCCATCACAAAGGTCAGTGGGGAGAGAAGAATTGCAGGAAGGGAGGGAAAAGGAGAGGAAGGAGTGGGAGAGAGAAAAACATAAAAAACTCCAAGACACAGGAGTGGGAGGCTGCGGGATTCCCCCAGACAGGGGCTCAGACTAGACCAGATGCAGAGAACAATGGGCTTAGAGCAGGGGGAGCCAGGAGGGAAGAAGAGGAAGTCTGAGACTGGGTCAGAGAGAGAAAATCTTTCATTTCAGGAGCCGAGGCCACGGGCACCATACCGAGTCAGTGTTGGGCAGGGACTGGCATAAGACCAGCATGAGAACCCGAGGGCGCCAAGGCAGGACGAGCAGGGAAGCTCACAATACCCACCTCACCATATCATTGCCAGGCCCGGCCCTTTACACCTCATTTCATTTCATCCTCACAATTTCCTGTAGAGGGCTGTTATTCTTACTCCCTTCCTGCTATGAAGATGTGGAGATGAGGCTCAGAGAGATTGAGTGGTTTGTCCCACGTGACCCAGCTGGTGATTTGCGCGTCAGGATGAGAACCCAAGCAGTTTCAACTCTGTGCTCTCTTAATCACAGCTCCTGCCCAGTGAGACAAAAGTGGGTGAATCAAGACCAAATGGGTGAATCAAGACCGAAGACAAGCAAGTATGGGGGGAGGGGGGAGGACCAGACACCAAATAATGGGGGAAATAATGGCAAGGAGGCCGGAGGGGAGGAAGAGAGTCTGGGAGGATGACCTGCCCAGGACCAACACCAGGCCCAGCGTGGCCAGGCAGGGTTCCCTGCTCACTCGGCCACAGAGGGGCTCCCTGTCCCTCAGCTGCTGCCTGGCTGCGTGGACAGCACCTTCCCATCAGGCTGTCCCAGCCCAGGAGCATCCTCCTCAGCACAGGCCTCTCCGCTTCACAGGAAATGCTCTTTCTCTAATTGGCATTGAAACTCACAGCCCTCCCTTTTCCTGTAGGTGGGGTTTCCATAGGAAAAAGCTGCTTCTCTGTTTCCCCAGCCCAGCAACTGTTTGGAAGTCAGATCCCCACATCCCGCTCTACTGGGTCAATTCCCCGCCTCGACCTGCTCTTGTCCATCATTTGCTGAAGTGAACCAGCGGGTTCCCCCCGTGCAGGATCTCCCCCGGCAACTTCCCTTCACCCGTGCTTGGATCTCTCAGATCTCTTCAGATGAAGATGGCCTCACCTATGAATCCTGCCAGTACCATCATTATCTAACGATGGGGCGGGTCTGTGCCCACAGGTCTAGGGGCAGGAGAACGGGGTTAATCAAACCCCCCCAGAAACACTGGAGGACTTGCCCAGCCTTTGAAGAACTCTAGCAGTTTCTGAATCTAGCTCACTGGTGGTAAGCATGATGCGACTTCTGCCACTTTTGCTGGGGTTTTGGGGGCCAGGTGGCTACTTGTTGCTTTCAGGAAACTGCCAGGAGGTGGCCACCCTCACTGTGAAATACCAAGTGTCTGAGGAAGTGCCATCTGGCACGGTGATAGGGAACCTATCCGGGGAACTGGGCCGGGAGGGGAGGCGTGGGCAAGCGGGGGCTGCCTTTCAGGTTCTGCAGCTGCCACAGGAGCTCCCCATCCAGGTGGACTCTGAGGATGGCCTGCTCAGCACAGGGAGGCGACTAGACAGAGAGCAACTCTGCCGGCAGCGGGACCCCTGCCTGGTTTCCTTTGATGTGCTTGCTGCAGGGGATCTGGCTCTGATCCACGTGGAGATCCAGGTGCTAGACATCAATGACCACCAGCCTCAGTTTCCCAAAAGTGAGCAGGAGCTAGAGATCTCTGAGAGTGCCTCTCTGCGCACCAGGATCCCCCTGGACAGGGCCCTCGACCCAGACACGGGTTCTAACAGCCTGCATTCCTACACTCTGTCTCACAGTGAGCACTTTGTCCTAGATGTCATTGTGGGGCCCGATGAGACCAAACATGCAGAGCTTGTGGTGGTGAAGGAGCTGGACCGGGAAATCCACTCATTTTTTGATCTGGTGCTAACGGCCTATGATAATGGGAACCCCCCCAAGTCAGGCACCAGCTTGGTCAAGGTCAACGTCTTAGATTCCAATGACAATAGCCCTGTGTTTGCTGAGAGCTCACTGGCACTAGAAATTCGAGAAGACGCTGCCCCTGGTACTCTCCTCATAAACTTGACTGCTACGGACCCTGATGAGGGCCCCAATGGGGAGGTGGAGTTCTTCCTCAGTAAACATGTGCCTCCTGAGGTGCTGGACACCTTTAGTATTAATGCCAAGACAGGCCAGATGATTCTGCTTCAACCCCTAGACTATGAAAAGAACCCTGCTTATGAGGTGGATGTCCAGGCAAGGGACCTAGGTCCCAACCCCATCCCAGCCCACTGCAAAGTTCTCATCAAAGTTCTGGATGTCAATGACAATGCCCCAAGCATCCACATCACATGGGCCTCCCAGCCATCACTGGTGTCAGAAGCCCTTCCCAAGGACAGTTTCATTGCACTCATCATGGCAAATGACTTGGACTCAGGAAACAACGGTCTGGTTCACTGCTGGCTGGGCCAAGAGCTGGGCCACTTCAGGCTGAAAAAGACCAATGGCAACACATATATGCTGCTAACCAATGCCACACTGGACAGGGAACAGTGGCCAATATATACCCTCACGCTGTTGGCCCAAGACCAAGGACCCCAGCCCTTATCAGCCACGAAACAGCTCAGCATTCAGATCAGTGATGTGAATGACAATGCACCTGTATTTGAGAAGAGTAGGTATGAGGTCTCTACTCGAGAAAACAACCTACCCTCTCTTCACCTCATTACCATCAAGGCTCATGATGCAGATTTGGGCATTAATGGAAAAATCTCCTATTATATCCAGCACTCCCCAGTTTCTTACTTGGTGGCTATTAACTCGGACACAGGCGAGGTGACTGCTCAGAGGTCACTGGACTATGAACAGCTGACTGGCTTTGAGTTCCGAGTGATTGCAAAGGACAAGGGGCAGCCCCAGCTTGCAGCCAGTGTCTCTGTATGGGTCAGTCTCCTGGATGCCAACGATAATGCCCCGGAGGTGATTCAGCCCATACTAAGTGATGGAAAAGCCAGCCTCTCAGTGCTTGTAAATGCCTCCACAGGCCACCTTCTGGTGCCCATTGAGACCCCTCATGGCTTGGGTCTTGTGGGCACAGACTCACCACCGCCGGCCACCCACAGCGCTCAGCCATTCCTTTTGTCAACCATTGTAGCAAGAGATGCAGACTCGGGGGCAAATGGAGAGCTCCTCTACAGCATTCAGGGTGGGAATGACGCCCATCTCTTCGTTCTCAACCCTTACCTGGGCCAACTGTTCATCAACATCACCAATGCCAGTAGCCTTATTGGGAGTGAGTGGGAGCTGGAGATAGCCGTAGAAGACCGTGGCAGCCCCTCCTTGCAGACCCGAGCCCTGCTGAGGGTCTTGTTTGTCAGCAGTGTGGACCACCTCAGGGACTCGGCCCATGAGTCCAGGGTCCTGAGCGCCTCAGTGCTCACGGTGATTTGCCTGATAGTGCTGCTGGCCATCTTCGGGTTGATCTCAGCTCTGATCATGTCCATCTGCCGGACAGAAAAGAAGGACAAGGCCTACAATTGTCGGGAGGCTGAGTCCACCTACCGCCACCAGCCCAAGCGGCCCCAGAAACACATTCAGAAAGCAGACATTCATCTCGTGCCTGTGCTCAGGGGCCAGACAGAGGAGCCGAGCAGAGGCGGGCAGTCCCACAAGGACACAGGCAAGGAGGCGATGATGGAAGCAGGCTGGGATCCCTGCCTGCAGGCCCCCTTTCACCTCACACCCACCTTGTACCGAACCCTGCGGAACCAAGGCAACCAGAGAGCCCTGGCTGAGAGCCGGGAGGTGCTGCCTGACACAGTCAACCTCCTTTTCAACCATCCCAGGCAGAGGAATGCTTCCCGGGAGAACCTGAACCTTCCTGAGCTGCAGCCTGCTCCTGGCCAGCCTCGCCTGAGGCCTGTGAAGGTGGCGAGCAGTCCCACAGGAAAGCTGTCTGGAGACCAGAGCAGTGAGGAAGCCCCGCTGAGCCCACCTGCCTCCTCTGCAACCCTGAGGCGGCAGCGGAATCTCAATGGCAGAGTGGCCCCTGAGGCAGAGACGGGCCCCCATCAGATCCTGCGGAGCCTGGTCCGGCTGTCTGTGGCCGCCTTTGCAGAACGGAACCCCGTGGAGGAGCTGACTGTGGACTCTCCTCCTGTTCAGGTACACTGGGTGTGGGCGGCTCTCTCTGGTCATCTCTGCACCACCACCAACAGCCACCAGACACTCATGACCCTAACATTCCTCACTTTCATTCCTTAGGCTGACCAAGAATTTTATGGCACACTGGGTGTCAGGGATTCAGGGGGTCAACAGTGGTTGTGTGTGATTCCAGGCAAATTATTCACTGTCTCTAAGTCTTAGTGTCTCTCTCTGTAAAACAATACCAGTAAAAGCACCTGCCTTCCAGAGCTGTTCTGAGGATTTGATCAGTTAGTTTCTCTAATGCACTCACTCAGGGTGCCTGGCACAAGCAGACACACAGCAGTGGTGTGATAAAGAGAAAACATTTTGGAACCAGGGAAGTTACACAGCTTGTCTAGTGAAGATGTCCATGTTAACAGCGCCTGTCTTCTAAGTTTGCTAGAGATAAACTGAGTGCACATAAAGCTTCCAGACAGTATCTGGCATTTAGCACTCAGCAAATAATTACGGTTATTTCTACAAATGTCTTCTCCATTACTACTTGCCCTCTACTCACCCGGGCAACTTCTTTATGCAGCTAGGCAGCATGGGCATAATTACCCTTGGAGCAGGGCTGCAATCGATGTGCCCAAGACCCCAGAGCTTGCCAGCTGGGCCTATGGGATGGGCAGTGAAAACAATCTTGGAACTGGAAATTCGTGAGATCCAGATACAGATTTCAGCACAGCTGCTTAGAAACTGGGGGACAGTGGGCAAGTCCTGTACCATCTGAGTTTCATTTTCCTTATCTATAAAATGGGGGTTATTGTGCCAAACTCACCACATCTATCTCCCAGAGGGGTGAGAATCAAATGGGATGATGAATGATCAAGCGTCTATGTCCCAGAGCATACTTGACACAGATGGGATATCTTTTTCAGGGATGGTGCCTGATATGCTCACATGCTGCTCTGAGCCCCAGCTAATTTTCTCTGTACCAGGTTGCCCACCCAAGGCAACTTCTGTTTGGGCAGGCCATCAGCTCAGATTTCCTGTGGAGCAAGGCCACAGCTTCCTTCCCTCCACGCCTCTTCAGGAAGCCACCTGGAGAGGGCCCAGCTGCTGCCCTGGGAATCTAGTCCTGGGTTCTATGCCGCCCTAAAAATTTCCCAGAGCCATTCATTCATCAAAAGCTTATTGAATGAGCTCTTTGTGCCAAACACACGCTGGTGGCTGGTGAACAGAGACAGCAGAGAACAGACACGGGGGTGGTAGAGAGGGTGCTCATTTGGAATCAACTTGAGGCTAAGAGGCAGGTTGCCTAATGCTCATGATTTTCTAGCAGCACAGTCTCACCGTGGAGGGAGGTCCAGGTTGAAATTCTAACACTACTGCTAATTGCTGTATAGCCCCTATGAGCCTCAAGTTCCTCATCGGCAAAGTGGGTATGATGGTAACTCTTCCTGTGTGTTAGTGTAAGGACTAAATGAGATTATATATCACTTGACAGTTATTAAGTGCTTATCGTAAGATCTACTGACAAATAATTTATATACTTTTATCTTCATAACTGCAATCATCACATAGCCTAGACCTTATCATTATTGCCTTTTTAACTGCTAAGGAAACTCAGGTTCAGAATGTTGACAGGGTTCTCAAGGTCACCCAGATGGAAACTAGAGCAGGTCAGATTTAACAGAACAATGCCTGACTAACTCCAGAGTCTGGGTTTTAACTATGAAATGAACCTAAATGACAGTGCTCAGCTCAGGGACTGGCATTTAGCAGTATGCCCTTCACTGGGCAAAAGGGTCACAGTTGGCTTCAGAAAACTTCTCGGGCCTGCACTGGAGGGGTAGGAGATGCCCAACGGGGCTCTGACCCTCCCAAGTCATAGTGAAATCCCAGTCCTGGTCACGTCCCTGTTCAACTGGCCTGAGGTTGGCACCTTTTGTCTTCAGCTGCCCAGAGAGGTGAAGTGGACCCCTTTAGGGAGGGTAGGGAAGGACCCAGGAGCAGAGGCAGTACTTCTAGGAGTAAAAGCCTAAACTCAAGTAAACTGAATTAACTTTCAAATCATGTAATTAATCTTAGCAACCTTTAAGGAAGGTTGGGCCAGTATTTCTAGTTCCACCTTAGAGAGGAGGAAACTAAGTTCTGAGTATGTCTAAAAACATGCCTGGATTATACAAGCTAGAAATGACCTTGAACTAGAACTCAGCCTCCCAAGACTTACTCTTCACCCCCATGAGGCCCTGCAGCATCTGACAACAACATGTCATCCAGCCTCTGTCCCATTATGCAGCCTTCTGAAGTGTCACCATCTCCTCTGGCCTTTTCGCTTAGAGACTTCGGTCAGAAACTCTCTTCACCCCTTGCCCAGACCCAACGCCCCTGACTCACCAAAGTCCAGTGGAAGCTTTGGATCTTAGGTGTCTGGTATGTTATATGAACTCAACAAATGTTCACATAAATAAACTAGCCCTGTTTCCCCTTTCTTTAAAAGGGGGAACATCCAGCCTCTGTCCCATAGACCCCCTCCTTTCCAACCCCATGCAATTCCCAGGAGCCGCTGTGTCCCGTCTTCCTGTGAGCTCCCTGAGGGCAGTGACTTGGTCACTCTCATTTGTGTTGTTGAATGAATGAATGGATGCATGCATGAATAAATAAATGATTAAATGATGCCATTTTGCCTTCTCTACTAACTTGCCTTACATTTGACCTACAAAAATTGGCTGAGTTTTAGAATACCATGGAAGGGGAGGAAATAACCCTTTAAGATAATTTTTATCAAAGCAATAATGAATTTATGGTCAGGAAATGCCCTTTTCACCTCCATCCCACAGATTCCACCAGAAGCTGGTCACTAAGAGGGATGAGAGTGAAGGGGTGGGCACACAGGGTCTCCCTGCTCCCAGATTCTTGGGTGACAGGGCCATGCTGGGAACCTGCCCACACAGGTCCCCCCCTGCTGTCACCACCACCTTTCACCATCCCCCATCTGATCACACAAACATCTGAAGCCAGAGGAAAGACTATAAAAAGAAAGCGCCGGCATTGAGGGAAACATCCGGCAAGGAAGTGTGCTGGGTCGGAATTGTGTGGAGTCAACAGATTTTTCCTGTCTTGTAGCAAATCTCCCAGCTGCTGTCCTTGCTGCATCAGGGCCAATTCCAGCCCAAACCAAACCACCGGGGAAATAAGTACTCAGCCAAGCCCGGAGGCAGCAGGTAAGCAGCACGTAGCTCCCACAGGATTCTCAGGACCCCCACTGGCTGCCCTCAGCCCTTAAGCCTCTATCATGTGAGGACTGGAAGCAGGGGGCGCATCCAGATGCTGGTCCCCCAGAGGGTACAGTGGACGGTGTCCACTCCCCCACCCCAGGCAGCTTTGCCTTAGAGCAACTGTATTTATGGTGTTTACAGGACCCAGAATCCCTAAGGAAATGAATTCATCTCCCCAGGCTCTATCTGTCCCCTGACTGCAGGGGTGCTGGGCTATGGATTTTTAAATCTGTAATCTCCAGTTTTCTTTCTCTTGACCCTTAAACAGAATATGGTTGATAGGAGTAGGGGACTGGGGAGTGTTATTCTGGGCTGTTCTAGAATTAAAAAGACCTCAAGAGAACATCTAACCTAACTCCTCCTAATTACAGATGGAGAAACTGAGGTTCTAATGTGTGAGATCCACACTGGCTATGCAAACTTAAGCAAGTCAGACAATTCCTTGGGGCCCTGTTTTTTACCTATAAACACCTATAAACTTGCATGTAGAGATAGGGTAGAGGTTTGTATCCTAAACCTATAGTCTAGTGCCTGGCACATTACAGGTACACAACTAAATTCTTTCCCCTTAAAGTGACTTTGCTCAAGGTCACACAGCCAGTGACTGACAAAGCTGGTTTGATGAGACAGTGTCTGCACCTTATAGAGCTTGAAGCCTGACTCAGAGGAACTGTTTAATCAATCTTAGTTGTTATTATTACTTGCAAACCTGCCACCACCCTACTGGCCCCTTCAGAGAAGCAGAAATGGCCAGAGAAAAAGAGCAGAAAGGACCCTCAGGCCTTCCAGTTTCTCAGGGAGCCTTCAGACCTGCTGGGATAGAGCTGAGCCTGTTCCCAAGCTGAGGTGTCTCAGGAATCCACCTCTCCAGGTCACAGGGAGGGTAGAGAGCGGAAACAGGGCAGTATGTTCTGAGTAGCTTCTGGAAGCCTCACCTCAGCTATGTCCTCTATAGACCTGCTCAGAATTCTGGCCTGGCACTTGGCCTCAGATAAGGAGAAAGAAAAATTTGTTTACCATTCCACCACGTTTTTAAGCACCAACTATGTGCCAGGCCCTGTTCTGAGCACAGGCGGGAGAGCAAATCCCTCCCCTCACTGGAGCTCAAACTTGGATGGAGGGATGAAGGGAGGGAATGAAAGAGGGAGAGAGACCAGGAGGGAGAGGTGAGTGGATGGTTGGATGGATGGATGGAAGAAGGGAAAAACTACAGCTTACCAACCTCCTACTCTGTGCCAATGAAGGCATGGGAGGGGCATAGTGAATAATCATACCAAGCATTCACACTTTTCAAGGTGACACAAAAGAAATCCTTTGCATACAAGGTCTCATTTTACCCTCAACACCCCATGCAGTGTGTGTTGTTTATTAACCCCCATTTCACAGATGAAGAAACGTGACTCAGACTAGGCAGGAGGGCTAGGATTAAGGAACCCAGTTTGGTCTGATGCTGAAGGCAGGGCTGGGTATACCGCTCCCCCTATGGGTGAATGAGTGTGAAAAATAGGATGTTCCTGAGCAGGAATGAACGTGCCCAGGGGTGACTGTGCTCACAAGCTGACAGCGCTGGCTTCCCGCACAGGAGTACAAACCCAGATGCAGAGGGCTCAGGTGCCAGGGCTGGGGGCCAAGAAGAACCTGACCAGGAAGAAGGATCCTTAGACTCTGAAGAGGACCTCTCTGTGAAGCAGCTGCTAGAAGAAGAGCTGTCAAGCCTGCTGGACCCACACACAGGTAGGAACTTCCCAGGGTTACCCCAAACTTGCTTCTCCTCTCTTGTACCCAGGCTTCAAAGTCCTGCTCTGATCTACCACATGGAAACATAGCATTCTATTTCTGGGGAGGAATCTCAGTAACATTTTATTTCCCCTTGAGCATCAGAAAACCTTTGTTTGTTTAAAGACCAGATTCTACTTTGATTGTTAATTTTAAAACATCGTCATAAAAATAGTGAACAATTACTAAGTTCTTGGTGTGTGCCAAGTACCCTGGAAACATCTTATATACATCACATTTTAGCCTCCAAACAGACCTTAGAGGCAGATATTAAGAGCTCCAAGTTAAGATACGCTAGGGAGGTAACTGAGCTGCCTGGACTCACCCAGGTTCACAGAGCTCATCAGTGATGGGGGGGTCCCCCAGTCCCCAACCTATTAGGAGACCTCCCCTCACTTTCTAAACCAATCATTTCTACTTCTTTTGTGTGTTAAATACCCTTCCACCCTAAGAACTGAAGCCATTCTTTAATGAGCAAACAATTAAAACCAAGAATTTTCTGAAGAAACAATTAGTTTGGACAATAAACTGCATCATATGAATTTTAATCCAAGAAACTGCCAGTTTGTGGAGACTGGTCAGCCTCCTTTCAGGTGACTCACCTATAACGACCATCCCTATCTGCTGGACTTTGTTCTCTGTTTCTGTAGCCAACAATTTATTTCTCATCCAAACACATCCTGTGTGCTTCATCTGGCACAAACACGCTGAAGGCATGGGAAGCACTTCCCTTTCCTTAAATACATACATATATATATATATATATATATATGTAATATTTACTGCGTGCTCTCTATATGCTAGCCCCTGTTCTAAAAGCCTCGTGGGAAAAGCTTAAGATAAGGGCTAGTTGTTATCCCCATTTTATAAAGGAAAAGTCTAAGGATCGGGGGGGGGGGGTTAGTAATTTTTCTAAGATTGTACAGCCAATGGTTATTAACACAGGCAGTGTAGCTCTAAATTAAAATAAAGTAAAATTAAAACTAATTAAAAGTAACTAAAATGAAGAATTCAGTTACTCAGCCATGCCATGCACATTTCAGTGCTAAGTAGCCACATGTGGTTAGTGGACATACTATGGACAGCACCATATAGAAAGTTTTATAGGACATCACTGTCTAAATGTAGAGCTGTGAGGCCCAATACAGCAGCCACCAATGGCCTGAGAGAAAGGCTAGTCTGAACTGAGATGTGCTATAAGCATAAAACACACTCCAGATTTTGAAGGCTTTGTGTGAAAAAAGAATGTACAGTATCTTATTAGTCATTAAAAAAAAATACCAGGTATATGATAAACGTAATGCCATTAGGTATAAAGAATTAACAGATCAATTTCACCTTTTTACTTTTTTAACATGTCTGCTAGAAAACTGAAAATGACATCTGTGGTCATTACATCTCTGTAATCAGCTCTACACCAGAACCTGTGGGTTCACTTCCTACATGGTACTGTTTCCCCACAGCGTGAAGGGTTTGGGGGCTGCACGAGTTAGGGAACAAAGAGAGTGGCAGGGCTAACAGTATACTTGCCTGGGGCTGGCCTGCCAGAGACTGGGATCCTGGCCACATCAGATAGCTGCCCCACCTATGGGTGTGATGATGACAATATTTCACCAGCTGCATGAGCTCACTGAATTCAACCTGACATAACAAGTGCTATTAAGTCTTCGCTTTCTGAGAGGAAAAGGAGACAGAGGCACAGAGAGGTTAAGCATTTCCCCCAATGTCACACTGCCCCTAAGTGGTAAAGCAGAGAAATCAAACCCAGGTTGGCCCAGTGCCCCACCTTCTGCTGAGTAACTTTACCATCGCTTTCCAGGCCTTCACACATCCTGGTGCTATACTCATTCAAAGCTCCCTTCATGCAAGGAAAGGCCTGATTCTGGAATACCAAAAGAGTTTAACCTTATTACCTCAGAGTCTCAGGGGACTAAGGTTTACATTTCCTAAATTTCCAGGGTTAATACTTATGTTCATTCAATAAACGTCCACTAAGTTCCAGGCTGGACCCCAGGCCCCAGTTGTGACGCAGGTCCACACCACCTCACAGCCTGCAAGCCCGACACTGACGAGGCAAGGCAGGGGCTCATTTATCAACATAAACAACCATTAGCTGTATTTTGGAATAACTTTTACAAATTACAAAAGTAATACTTGGTTAATATAGAAAAATGCAGATGAACAAAAAGAAAATAAATCAGTTTTGCCTGGGGTAATTTCAGTTAACACTTTGACATACTGCTTCTTAGTCTCTTACTCTACGCACAGATTTTAAAGTAGTTTACCTTAGGCAAACATTAAATAAATGTTAAAGTATATGTTGTGCCCCACCCCCCCTTTTTTTTTTTTAACAAAGACACAGTTTCTTAACCACAGAATTATACTTTCCTCTGGTTTGATCTCCTACCATCAGGTGTGGACTAGTTTTTTTTTAAGTGGGATGTTTTTTGAAGAGTTTGGGGAAAGAAGCAGTGGAATGGGGGCTTTCGGGCCCTGGAAGTCAAATTTTCACTGCCCAGCCCCGTTTGGGGGATCGTTCTGGGCAGCCAACCCCTTTCCAGCCTGATGCCAAGTCAGTGCTTCCCGCAGCTTGAGAGATAAAGGTAGAGGAGTTGCAGGTCTGAGGCCAGGGGGTAATGGCTGAGGAGGGTGCAGGGCCAGGGGGTAAAGGTTGAGTTGAGGACACAAGACCAGATTGTCATGTGCAGAACTTAGCTGGCCTGGGAATTCCAGAGGTCACAAGTGGACATCAGAAGCTATCCCTTTCCAGGGAGGACGGTCAGCTCTTGAGAGTGGGTACTTTGGTACTATCACAGGGGCTTCCGAGTCATCGACCTTGGGTCAGATCCAGGTTTAGTGGCTTAAATCTGTTTTCTGTTTCCCCATCCATAAAATGGGATGATACTCAACTTCAAAGGTTTGTATGGAGGTTAAATCGTATTCAAGAAAGCACAGAAGTGCTTTCTTAGTGGTAACGATTATGCTGAACACCAACCGAAGGCAGCACCAAGCCAGGAACTGCAGCCTTGGCTAAGAAAAAGGATTTCTACTCTCATCCCCTCAGGCAGTGGTGCCCTGATGGGGTGAAAATTCTGGCCGTACAGAAATGGGTAGAAGACCCCAAGACCTGAATCAGGGAGGGAGTCTTTAAAAACAAGCCAATTTTACTCTAAGCCACTTTCTAATTCCTCCTCCTGTATCCTTTCCACTCAGCTCTCCTGTGTACTTGGGTCCTGCCTTCCGGCCCATGAGCTTCTCTGTCAGGGCCTCTTCCTTCCGGTCCCCCTCCAACAACCCCATCATTCCCTCCCCCACTTCCCTTCCCTCCTTTGTCCCATGCCCTTGCCCTGCCCACGCCCCACCCTGTCCCGTCTGGCCCTTCCTGGGCAGGGCCCCACTGTCTGTCCTCTTCCCCTCTAGGTTTGGCCCTGGACCGACTGAGCACCCCCGACCCAGCTTGGATGGCAAGGCTCTCTTTACCCCTGGCCACCAACTACCGTGACAACGTGTTCTCTGCTGATGCTGCAGCCTCAGAGGAGCCTAGAACCTTCCAGACATTCGGCAAGGGGACTGGGCCAGAGCTGAGCCCGACAGGCACACGACTAGCCAGCACCTTTGTCTCAGAGATGAGCTCGCTGTTGGAGATGCTGCTGGAACAGCGCCCCAGTGTGCCTGTGGAGGCTGCCTCCGAGGTGCTGCGGCGCCTCTCTGTTTGTGGGAGAACCCTCAGCCTAAACCTGGCCACCAGTGGGGCATCAGGCACAGAGGTCCAGGAGGGTGCAGGTGAAAAGAAGGGGATCAACAGCAGAACATGCAGCAACAGCAGCAGCAGGGGGCTGTGGATCCAGGAACCAGGAGCCCAGGCAGATGTTTTGGTGCCCAGACCCTGAACATCCTGGGACATGAACTGGCTTCTAAAATCTTTGAACTCACTGACAGAAATGGCTTAAGAACTTTGGGGTGATCATGAGGTAGCAGGGGTTCAGGACTAACAACTGGTGGAGCAAAGCAATCCCGTTAGGGGCTGGCTCTGCCTCTGAACTTTTTGGAAAATGAAGTGTGTGTGGCTAGGATTACGTGTTTGCTGGCAAAACACACATGGAGGTGAAGTGTTGTCCTCTATGCCAAGGAATGTCACAGTAGGGAAGGATGGTTTGTTGCATTCTAGAGGATGGGGAGCTGGATCCAGAAGCACCAGGCAAAGCTCGCTGACTTACTAATAAAGGAAAGGCTGTGGTCTGTTCTCCTGTCTACACCTGTTAACAGGGAAGCGGGAAGAACAACAGAGAGGGTTCTTTGTCCTTCCATCTCTAGCAAGAAGACCTTGCCAGGTCTGGACAGGAGTGAGGCACGTTGGCACATTGTTAGGTTTGCAGTGATGGACATGCATACCCTTGACCCCACTCTTCTACTGCTGCATTATCTAATACTCTGCTTCTCAACTGGAAAATCAGGGCCAGGAAAAGCATGACTGTTTATAGAGCATTTACACAAGCCAGGCACCAGGTTTCAGAATAGGAATTAATTTCCCAACAACACCGGCAAGGAGGTGTAATTATCCCCATTTCACAGACAAAGACATGAGGCCTGAAGAGCTGAGTGTCTTGCCCAAAGATCAAATAGAGAAGAGAGGCACAGGCGGCATCTGGAACCAGGCTTGCCTACCGAAACCCATGCTTTTGACATTGACACTAGGCTGCCGGGCAAGGCAAGGCAAGGCCCCACTAGGTGAACTTCTGCTAGTAGTGGACTTGCCTGACCCCCCCTCCAAAACACTACTTAAAAGAACACTTCCAAAGCCTCTCAGGCCTGTGTGGCTCTCACATCCAAGAACAAGAGGGACTTGGATTTGACCTAGCGCAGGCCTGGGCTTGTGCAGGCTCCTGTCCTTCTCCACAAGCAGTCCTCTAGGGACAGAAGTCATCTTTGGAGACCTACTGTTGGAGAGCAAATCTTTCTCTTTCACAGCAGGTTCAGGCCTGTGAATTCAACCCCAGAGGACAGTGTGTGAACTGAGTCTATGTAATCAACACTGACAGCACCTTCCAGGGAGGAGAGAGTAAGAAACAGCAAATATTTTCCCAGTGCTCAGATTTTTCCTGGAAAATTCCAAGCATTCAGTTAGCTTCTCGATAGTTTAGGGTTCTGGACCCGAGAGGCAAAAATTCCATTCTGTGCTTTTTGTCCTCTTTTGAAGCTCAGTACTCATGTTCACTATCCACAGAAATAGGCTATCATACTCCCAACTCAGAATCGTGGATACCATATTAACTTGGAATGCGGTGTGACATCATTATTCCTTTATTTCATCTTACAGATGAGGAAAATAAGGCCTCCCAAAGTTAAGAGATTCAGGGGAAGAGTCCCTGGGCATCTGATTGCCTCACTCCAGGCACGAGTGATCCCCTTATGAGATCTCTGATTTTCACACTACAGGGTGCCCAAGTCAATGAGAGACCAGATGCCGGCACAAAGCAACACTTGAACCATACTTGAATGGATGGATGAATAGATGAATGAATGATGCATGGGGAAATAAATACTTCATAGTTCCCTTTTATTTATATTGGAGCTCCAGGTAAGACTTCATTAGAAAAATAAATAGTTCCATTATGTGAAAGCAAAGTCTGAAAACCATAGCACAAGAGCCAAAAGTGCTGATTCCCCCCATCACTACTGGCTTCATAGTGCAGAGTAGAGGGGAGTTGGGGGCTAGAGAGAGGTGTGTGTTGGGGAGTGGAGAGTGACCCTAGGCCTGCACTGCACTGGCTCACCCATCACTCTAGTTCAAACATCCGACAGCTGTCATTCCAGGTAAACCGTGTATAGGTATTTTGCTAGGCACTAGATACAATGTTCTCATCATTCTCAAAGGAACACATGACCTATAAAAGGTTATGCAGCACAGCTCTAAGTCACTATCTAAACCTCCACAGATGTGAGCAATTTGAGTCATAAGAAGTCTGAATATTTTATAGCCAAGCAATTGGCAAGACAGAAAGAGCTGACAAGTTGCCCAAAGCCACATGGCAGGTTTGTGGCAGGGCTGGGATCTGAATCTGGGAGTTAGTATGAGCTTCTTTCTAATATATCAAAGGTTCTTAACCTTGGTTGGGCTTCAGGATGTATGAATCTGCTGAACTGCATGCCAAATTGGGAGGAAGTGCATTTTTCTAGGGGAAAGGAACAACTGGTATTTTCATCAGATTCTCAAAGGGGTCTGTGACCAAAATAAGATTAAGGACTACTGCAATCTGCTAGGAGGGTCCTCAGTTCTGCTTTCCCTGCAGAGCCTAGAGCAAGCATGGGCAAAGCTGTTCAACTGATCTTTGATCGGGGCAGGATGAGTGCATGCGCTGACTTACTCTCCTGCCTGCCCCCATGCAACCCCCCTAGGATGCTGAAGCCATCCCTTTCTCCAATAACAGACTGAGTGAGACCTTGTGTATGGTGACAGAACTGAGTGTACTGAACAGGAAGGTTACAGAAACTTCTGATATCCGCCAAGATGTCAAAGCTGAGACTTTGGACATGCTCAAAACATTTTCCTCCAAGATGGGATCTGTCCCCTGGAGACTGAGGGAACAGGCGAGCCAGCAAGCACTCAGTTAAATATCGTCTTAATTTGGAAAGCACAGAGGGACATTTTTTACCAGTAGTCAGCTGTTCCCCAGCACTAGGAGTGCAATGCAGTGCTTGCTGAAGCCTGGGGGCAACTCAGATTGACAGGCAGCCTCCCCATCTGTCACCAGCTGACCCCACCTCTCCCTGGCTGAAATAAGAGTGAGCAACCACTACCCTAGGGGCCCTGGAAGAGACCCAAAACCCAAAAAGAATACAGGAGTGATAAGGAAAAGTGTTAGCACAGGCTTAGCCCAGTGCACAGGAAATAGCTGTGTTTTCTAGTCCAGTCTACTGGGCACATGGTAATTGGTAGGGCAGGAGGGAGGCATGACTGAAACATTCATTCAGCAAACATCAAAAACATATGTATCAGATACAGCACTTGGAACAGCAGTGGTTGGGGTGGGGGAAGGAGATAATCATTCATTCACTCAACAAATACTTAAAGCACAAACTGGGTAGGCTTGAAGCTGGGCATTGGGCAGAAGAGGGGGTGATGCACAGATCATTCATTCATCGGCTGAATATTTACTGAGCATCTACTAAGTATTGGCATTGGCGATACAAGGAACACAACAGCCATGTTCAAGTGTCAAGGTTCTCTGAGCACCACAGTAGCTGGATGAAGAAACTGAGGCAGTGGAACCTCACACACAAGTTTCATTGCTGAGGGGGCCAGGCCCCAAACCCTGGACCCAAGCTGGCCCTGCTGACAGGGGCCTCCTCCCTGTCCTCCCCTCACATTTCTTTTCAGGGCACATGAGTCATTAGTCACGGAATTTTAATGGCACAAGCACAGCAGTTCCTGGGTCTGCCGATGAGTCCATCCCATGGGGCTATTCGGAGACCGCAACAACTGAGAGCCAAGGATTTTTGGTCCCTTGACAACATTCTCTCACGACTCTGCCATCCTTCCCTCTCCACAAGGAGAGTTTAAAAATATCCCACCTCCACCTTTGGCACCCCAAATTGAATTAGTACTTAAGTTGAAATGACTGAGCTGGAGGGATAACTGCCTGTGGCCATCACCACCGGAGGCCCAGTGTCCCCAGGATGTCTGAACTGCCCCTGGACCCATTGGCAGGGGCATGGGAAAGAGAAAATTTGAGAATCCGAAGTAACAACAGGAGAGGAATGAGGCTAGGAAGCAGGGCTCCACTGGGAGCAGGAAGTGGCCCTGGAAGGTCCACACACAATCTGCAGGGAGCTGGGCTCTGCCTCTGCTTGGCTCAGGGAAGGAGACGGGAAATGCTGGGTTAATCAAGTTCTTTACTGCAGGACTTCTTGGAACCTTGAATATGCTGATGTGCATTGTAAATCTATAAAAAGGGAATGTCTAGTGCAGTGTTTCCCAAACTTATTTGACCACAGAAACCTCTCTCTCTCTCTCTTTTTCCCATAGAGATTAGTGCATTGCACAGCTTAAAAACCTGAGCTTTAACCAGTGTCTTTATTGAGCCTCTACCTGCATGGGGCCTTATGCTAAGTGCCTGGGCTACTGGAATACAAAGAAGACACAGTTCTGGTGTGGGGAGTCCTCTGTGGGAGGCAGTGACTCGACAGAACCAGAGGGGATGAGGCCAGTATGCGGGGCAGGGGGTAGGGGAGGGCCTGGAGCTAGAGGGAGCTCATGGTTCCACTGATTAAGATAAAGGTGTGGGGCCACTAGAGGTTGGGGTGGTGGGGTGGACAGGAAAGAGGGAAATGTGGACAACTACCCCTCCCCCACAGTACTCCCACCTTTTAATCACCCCAGCCAGGAGGTCCTTCCCATCTGAAGGGTCACTAGAGGGTTTGGTCTTCAGTGCCTGGCATCCCCCTCCCCACCCCCAACCACGCCTATGCTATTGAACTTGGGCTAACATCCAGAAGCCAGGGAACAGCTATTCACAAATTCAGTAATTGAGTCATTAGCGTTGACTCAGAAATCATTTTTTTTCTAAGTCTCTCTCTTGGAGAAGCTTTTAAGACCCTTTAAATTGGTTAATGGAGAGTTTAGAGATGAGGATGGAGCCTCGGCTTTTAGTTCTCCCTGCTCATCTCCCTGGCTCTCCCCAACATACTCAAGGGCAAGAGTGATGAGATAATCCAATATCTGTTTTATTAAACTCCTATACATTTCTGGCACACCCTTCACAGATGAAGATCTCAGAACCCGCACTTCCTTGCTTCCAGACTCCAAGAGCTCAATCTCCATCGCCCTCCCATTGGAAGGATGATAATAACGCTTTCATATAGTGACAGTGTGAACCAGTGTGAGAGAGGGGCCAAGAGGCCTAGGACCTTTCCTGGCCTGGTGACTCACAAAGCCACACAACCACGGGCATCACGCAGCCTCCTCAGACCACAGTGAGCACCAAGGTCCTTTCCCCAGCAATGCGCCCCCCCCCCCCGACATCACCACCCTTGATCTACAACTAAGCAAATAATGCAGAGTTGGGTCAGTTGCTGCCAGAACCTGGGTCTTCAAGCATTTTCCTCTTCATACCGTGCTAGGGCAGGGGCTTAAGGTTCTCTGGGAAGGTGGGTGGTGGCTGGCCTCTTCTTTGGGATTCACATTGCTGTGTGTCTCTGACAACCTAGGTTCCCACGTTAGGGCTGAAGTGAAAGGGTCTGAAAAGTGAAGCACATATGTCAGGCATTTTGGAAAGAAACTCCTTCCTGCCAGATGATCATGAACCCACTGGGGGGAACCAGTGAGGTGGGAGCTGGTCTTGGGACCACCTGATTTAGTGCTTCCCAAGTTACAGTCATTCATGGAACCACCCTCCTGATTTTTGGAGGCTCTGTGCTCCCTTTTATACAATGTCACAGCGTTTCTCTTTAAGTTGATTCACTGTTTTTAATATCTGTGAAACTAGAATATGCTACTCACATTTTCATATTAGATATTAAATAAGTAACTGCTAAAATAAAAAAATATTAATTCAAATACTACCCCAAATCCCCTGTGATCCACCGAAAACACAGACCCAATGCTGGCAAAAAAATAAATAAATAACATAACATAACATAACATAGTGTTAAGACTGAGGAAACCGAGCCATAGGGTGGGGAAAGGTATGTTCACAGAGGCTAGGGTGAGGCCCAGGGTCTTGGAACATTCTATAGCGGTTTCCATGGGTCACTGAGTAAGTCCTTTTTTGTGCACAGACCAGAAATGACTATAAATACACCCACTGCTTATCTGTGAGCTCCCAACTGGAGGGAAAGGTCAAAATCATTTATTAGCCATGCACTTAGTTGCTTGAGAACCTGAGCTCCCACAGGATTTTTATCCCAGAAAGGAATACTGACACTCCATTTGTACTGCCATTCAAATCCCATCCACCCACCCATGACCCAGTGAGAAACCAGGAATGTTGCATCTCACCTTAGCCAAAACCCAGTCTGACGAGACTCCTTTCCAAAGGGGAGGGGTGTGGGGCGATAGCCCTGCTGGGGGCTCCAGGGCTGGATCCTAGATGCCCACTTCTGCAGAGGAAACCAAGGCTGCCCGTGCTTGAGGCATGTGGGAGGTGTGAGGCTCCTGCCCGCAGGGTGCTCAGGCTGCAGAGGGAGGGGCTGGAAAAGGACTTCAGTCCCGTAACTGCCAGGTCACTGGGCCCCGAGGCTGCAAGCAGAGTGAGAGCAACTCCTACTCATTCAGAATTCTTGGATTCCTACTCTGGAGTAAGGGCTTCTTAAAGGACTTGGCACCCCCAGGCACAGTTATCCCAGGCTAGCCCCACGACTTGTAGATAAATGGGGCCATCTGAGCCCTAGAAGGGTACTCTAGGGCACCGAGGCAACCTCGGATGCTGTTCCCCCTAAAATCACTGGAGTTACTATCATGTATTCAGTGTTTGAGTGCCAGGCTGTGCTAAGCCACTGACGGTCATCTCATTTGATCCTTACAACTTAATGATAAGGTACTAGGAACATACTCATTTTCAGAGGTGAAGAAAATGAAGTGCAAAGACTTGGAGTTGAAGTTCAGTGACCAGAACAAAGCAGAAGTGAAAATTCAGGTTGGCTTGACTAGAAACATTGTATTCTTACCCACAGGGCAGGAAATGACAAGGAAAACTATGGACTATGGTCACCCGCTCCTGTCACAGTGTACTGAGCTCAGGGAGGAACCTGTTGGTGTGACTCCTCTGTACCTGCAGCCTCCATGGAAAAGATGGTCCGCAGTCGTTCCCGGGCAGGCTTGTTCCCCAGAGCTGCTGACTGCCGATAACATCTCACAGCCTCTCCCAGACTCCTCTGCACACCAAGGCCCTTCTCATGGCAAATTCCCATGTGGTACATGCTCTGTGAGTCCTGAAGAATATGGACAGACACACAGATACATACAACACAGTACTGAAGAGCTGGAATGCTGAGGCAGGAAGCAAGTGGGAGAGTGAAGCCTGGTGGGAGTTTCATCCAGGCAGGATCAAGGCCCTTCTGGCATCAAGAAATCACAATTCTGAAAAGCCAGAGGCAACACATAAAGAGTCAGGCTTCCCTCCTCCCAGGGAGATTCTGGCCAGAAATGTGGATACTTCTCTTGCTGAGGCTGGAGCAGAAAGTCTGCAGAATCACCAGCTGCAGGACACACTGAGCCCAGCTGTGGGAAACCTGAGGGCCAGGTGCCTGCATTATTCTGAGTGAGAAACAAGGGTGGAGGCTGGCCTCCCGAACAGCCCCATCCACCTCCAGGAATCCCTGTCAAGCATAAATCACGAGTGCTTTGCTGCCTTTGAAAGGTTAAAGGGCTTTATTTCTTTGTCCATGGTCTGATGGTTTCTCTACTCTCATAGAGAAGTGTGATCCTCAGAGGGGCAGTATTGGGGAAGGGATGAGAGGCCCACTCTCTATAGCCAGGCCATCTGGATTCCAATCTTGGCTCGACCACTTACTAGCTACGTGATCTCGAGCAACTCTCTGTGCCTCAACTTTCTTATCTAAAAGTGGGAATAACACCACCTTCTTTTTGACATATAAAAAGTACTTCGATTCAAGCTATTATTTTAATTTCCTCCATTTACCTGCATCATTGACCCTGCCCTCTCTAGCAGAACATTTTCATTATAGTCACTCTCCCAACTAAAATTAATAAAGCATTGTATTGATTCCAATCATGATTCCATTTCTTCTACCTTCCCAGTCAAATTTCTGGGAGGTGTTTTTTATAACATGCAGGCCAGAGTCTCATGCCTCCAGGCCAGTTTAGAACACAGCACTAGATATCTGTAAGGCCAACTCCACCAACCTCCCCTGCTTGGTACAAGGCTAGAAAGAGAATTTTCCCAGAGCAGCGACTGAGTGTGAGGACTATGTTAGGCCCAGTGTTACATGACATCCCTAGAGACTTCTCCACATAGCATGCTGTGTGCCTTCACAGGACAGTAAGCGAGGCGGGGTAAGCCATGTGCAGGCTGGCTCAGCCCAAGGTCCCACTCAGGCTCTTTCAAAGAAAGGCAAGGGGCCTCTGTGGTGGCACAAGGAGTTAAGTCTCAGCATTATAAAGCTATCTGCAGCTACTGTGGCACAAGTTTAATCCGCAGCCAAGATGATGACCCACATGGCACAGCTGACCTCTATCTCACCCACTGCCCCCCTCAGAAATGTATTTCAGTAGCTCTATCTGTTCTGTTACCCACTCTGTCTGGTGAGTCTTATATGCATAAATAAATAAATCTCCAAAAAAAAAAAAGGGGGGCATAGAGCAGGTACTGGTTGGTTGGTGACTTCAGTCCTCTTGAAGATGACTATAGATACTTTGGCCAACACAGAGTGAAAAGGGAAAGTATTCTTCCCAAACAGTTGAATAAAGCTGTCAGTAAGTTGGCTAGAGAACAAAGAGAAGCAGCAGCCCCTGGGCTGGGAAATCCTAGAGCAAGCACATTGCTTGCTTTCATCCAGTGCTCCTGGTCCTTCCAGTATAACTCAAAAAATATACTGGTCGGGCCCTCCCTGGTGGTGTAATGGGTTAAAGTGCAGATTACGAAGCAGTCACAGCTGCTTCAGCCCAGCCAGGGAGGTGACCCACATGGTATGGCAACCTCTCCTGACCCACCTGCTGCTCCCCTCAGCAGAATATTTCAATACAACTGCCTGTTTTGCTCCTCACTCTGTCTCTAGTGATTTCTCTCATACCCACTCCTGTACCTCTGGCCTGTACCCCAGTTCTTATATGCATAAATAAATAAAACTTTTTTTTTAAAGATACCTGTTTAATAGGATTTCCTAAACATCACTGAAGAATTTTTCCTCTTTGCATTACTTATAACATCCATGGAATGTTCTATGGAACAAACTCTGGGTCAAGCTGTTTGAATGCCAGCAACCCCAGGTCACAAGCAGATACTGCTGCCCTTCCAAAAGCTCAGTGTGTTCCCTCACATGTCTTCTAGTCCCCAAACTATTGGCTCATGAGGAGGCACCTTTCATGCACACAGCTGACCACGTGCCCTCACACCCATTATCTCAGTCACTTTACAACCCTCACCTCAACCGTATGAAGTAACACACAGGTAAGACAGGCATTATTATCTTAATTTCAGTGCCCAGGGAAACAAGACGTGACTGGGCCAGTATTGCCCTGGTAAATGTTTAACAATGGTTCCCCAGGGGGTGAAGTCTTGACTTGCAGCAATTTCTGTAGTGCAAATACTCCTACCTGAGCTGATTTTAAGCTGCATGCAGTCCCAGGCTGGGGGCAGCCAGCTCTAGCATATCACTGGACTGGCCCATGAGTCACAAGAAAGTCAGTAAGTTAAGGCTTCAAGACAGCCCAGTGCTCCCAGCAACCTTCTAAGCATAGCTGAGCACTGTGCCAGTTCCCAAATTGCCTCTTTTATCAGATTCCATCCCCAGAATGCCTGAGTAGTAGAACCCTCGTACCCCATTGCTGGCTGCAAGCCACAGATATTTCACAGCGCCCTGCTCATCCAGGTATGGCTCCTTGGTGAAAAGCACCCCGAGGAAGGCTTGGGCCTGTGGTTAGGGAGGAAAGAAAAAAGGCACTTTAGTCTCTGCCGGGTCCCAGGGTCCCAACCACCCAGGGGCGATACCACCCACAGCACTCACCTCTCTCAAGCCTGAGTCTGCAGCCTGCCGCAGCAGGGACACCGCCCTCTGCCGCTCAGGATCCCAGGAGGATGCTGGCTCTTGCAGCAGGCACCTGGCATATCGGTACTGAGCCAGGCTGTGGCCCTGGTTGGCAGCCAGTCGGTAAGAAAGGATTGCCTGGGGCAACGGGAGAAACACCAGCCAACTGGTAGCTCAGAAAGCGTGCTTTTTCTTTGAGTGAAATATTTAAAATTACTCTGATTACATAATACACAATACCAGATTAGTCAGGAAATACAAATAAACCAAATTTGAAAATATAGATAATCAAAAATAAAATCAAAAGAAACCCGACCTCGTAAAAACTGGCCCATTAATATTTTAGCTATTGTATAGCCTTACAAACGGCTTCCTGTTTCCACGTTTTCCTATACACATACACACATATCATGTATGTTTATATATTCATTGTACAGGGGCAGAAAGAGAGAATACATTCTGTTTTGTACAGTTTTTTCACTTAACAATACCCCATGAATGTCTTCACTTGCCAATAAATATAAATCCAGCACATCATTTTTAAGATCCACATTAACCAGTTATCTACAAAAGGAACTCCAAGTTGCTTTCCCTTTACTGTCATCATATACAATTCTAAGAAACACATTCTTAGATATACATCTTTGACTACCTATTCTACTTTCTGAATTAACTGATCCATTCATCAAAGTAATGGTCTGGGCCCTGAGGATACAGCCACAGAGTACAAAGACAAGGTCCGGCCCTCTCTGGGTTTTAAGTCAAAATTTCTATAGATTAGGAGTTTCTTTCTTCTAATTCCCTTATGACTGGAAGAGAGAAGCTGCATTTCCCCCAAGCCCAACTCAGTGCTAATTTCTGGAGCTCACTGTGAGCAGCCCAGCACAGGGGCCAAAGCTGCTGGGGACGGTGGGGGGAGCAGTACCTTGCTGAGGTCCCTGGGGGTGCCCCTGCCGTGCTCATGACACAGGCCCACATTATACTGTGCCTTGCTGTAGCCACGGTCTGCTGCTTTCTGGAAGTAGGAAAAGGCTGCTGCATGGTCTCCATTCTTCATGCTCTCTGTCCCTGTAAGAAAGCACAGGGCGTAAACACAGCTTCTGCAGCCATTTCCTCAGCCAGATACCCACCAGCTCCTTCCTTTTTTGTACTAGACACTTTGTGTATATTTCCATCCTCCAACATTCCCCTGGTTTGCCCTAGACATCAGTAGGTTCTGCTCTAAACCGCCCTTCTCCACTGGGCAATGGTACCCGGAGTCCCTCTGGGAATGGCCCTCCCACAGTGCTGTCAGTCAACGTGCCCGTGCTCTTGCCAACCAGTGAGACCCTCTCTCAGGAATCTGAACCTGGATCTGGTTATGACAGCTCTTGCAGACTTATTCTGCGGGCAGCCCTCAGGACACCCCATCTAGCAGTGATTTGTCCCACACTCTGGGGCTTCCCTTGGCAGGTCAATAGATTTCAATTGGCTCCTTGTGTGCATCTGTTAACCAGAGTGGGGTAGGCTATTTCCTAACTGACAAAACTTAACTGATACAGCTAATCCTGTCAATCCTGCTTTATGAGGAGACCACAGGAAATAACAGAGCTGAGATGTCCAACCCCAAAACCCATGTTCATTCTTTTTATCATCCAAACAAAAAGGAAAACTGGAAAGAAGCTGGCACAGCCCGAATGTCAGCCCTGCGCTTTTGCTCACATGGTTCTCCTGCCCGGGATATAATTTCCTGCCTTTACCATCAGGCCTTCCCATCTGTTTCTGCTCCAAAACCTTCAGACCACACTCAGCCTTTAAGCACATTGGCACTTACTTATCATACCAGCCTTTTTCTATGAACTAAACTGTTTCAAGAGTGCAAGCTCTGTCTCCTCAATTAGACTGTAAAATCCTGGAGGCAGCAGCAGAAAAAGAATGTGGAAGAAATAACTTTGCATAGGGTGAAAGCTCTATACAAATGCAAAATATGATTATGGCTTATGCTCCCTTTGTGTTCTGCCACAGTGCTTAGCGCTTGCTGAATAAATGAATATATGAATGAAGGAATGGGCAAGAAAATTCTCAGAAGAGACTGACTGCCCATCAAAATCACAAAAAGCTAATGAGGTAGAAGCCAGGTTCCATTCAGCCAGCAGTGAATTAAAGGCCTCTCCCTGCCGCCTGAAAACTCACTGCCCAGGGTGCATAGAACCCTCCGTCCTTGAGGAGAAGACTCAAGAGAAAAAAAGATCCCACCCTTCCCCACCTCCCACACTGGCTTCATCAACACACGCTGCCTATCTATTCTGTCTCCTCTGCCCCTAACCTAGAACCAACTGCCATGACATGATTCTTAACTAACAGCTCTATGTGGCCTCCTATTTCCCCTCTGGCATCCCTACAGTCCACATCTGTCTACACCACAGCCAGAGATTTCTGGAAAAGTACATCAGATCATGTGGCTGCCCCACTTCCTGCTCCAGCTTCAAGTCCCCCAGTGACATCCTGACTCACTCAGAAAATCCACTCTTGGCCCTCTCTGGTGGCACAGTGGATTAACACACAACACTATGAAGCTATCTGGAGCCAGTGCAGCACGTCACTCTGCCAACAGAGGTTCCTACTTGTGCACTGAGGGTCTGCTCCAAACCTCAGGAGCCTTTTCTTGCACATGTATGGCAGAGAATGCTAATGCTAAGGATTTACTTTCTCCTCCTTTCTGTCATGAGTTCGATCCCAGTCAAGGAGGTGACCCACATAGCGTGGTAGACCTCTCCTGACCCACCCACTGCTCCTCTCAGCAGTGTTTCAGTAGATCTGCCTCATGTTCTGCTCCCTATTCTGTCTTTGGTGAATCCTCTCACCTATCACACTTCTGGCCTATACTCCAGTTCTTGCGCGCATAAATAAATAAATCTTTTAAAAAAGGAAACCCACTCTTTACCCTGGCTCAGAAGGTCTCACTTGATCTGACCCTTGCCTGCTTTTCTGACTTCATCTCCTCCTACTCTTCCATTTATCTCAAAATTCCAGCTACATTCACCTTTTTTCATTCCTTTAACAAGTAAAACTCAGTCCTACTGTTCCCTGCTTGGAAACCTTTCTCCAGATGGAAACAAGACTGGCTTATTTTTGTTAATCGGGTCATAGCTCAAAGACCCTCCCAGTGAGGCCTTGCAAATCAAAAGTTGCTCCTTGTCCAAGTAACTAACATACTCCTGTTTAATTTTATCCACAATATTTATCACCATCTAAAATTATCTTTTTTATTTGCTGCCAATGACTGTTTTTCTGTCCTTAACTTACATGTCAGCTCCATGAGAACAAGGACTTGGTCTTACAAAGCACCTTGTCCCCGACATCTAAGATGGAGTCTAACAAAGAGTGGCTACTCAATAAATCAGTTCAGAATGAATCCTAGTCTCTCATCTATCTACTCTCTAGACTATAACAGATGCTGCTGGTGCCTGGGTCTCCACATTAGAAGGCTGAAACTTAAGCCAAGTTACTGCAAAGAACAGGCTAAATGGTGAAGCATATCTGGAGTCTAGATGTGGGACAGAGGTTTGTATTTGTGCACTGAGGGTCTGCTCCAAACCTAAGAAGACTTTTTTTTCCTTGTATGGCAGAGAATGCTAATGTCTGCTAAATGCTAAGGATTTATTTTCTCCTCCTTACAAAGTAACAAAATTCTTAGGTAAGTACAGGGTCATTCAGCTGAAAACTACGTTCCCAGACTCCCCTGTGACTAAGTGTGGTCATTAGCTGATACAATTATTAGTACATCTTCTGGGTCAGGTCCTCAGAGGTTAAGAGGGGTCCTTTAGCTTCTCTCTCTCCCCACTCCTAGCTGTTAGAATATGGATAAGGGGGCAGGAGCTGGAAGAGTCAAATTGGATCTTGAGATGGAAACCAGTTTTAATGGCAGAATGAGCACGCATGGGGCCCCGACACCACTGTGGCACATTTGGTCCACTTACCTGGGAGAAAAACTCCCCTGTTTAAACAGCCCTTACCCTGAATCTATCTGACCAAGCCCATACCCTCTCCACTTTCCCACCCACCCTCTTTGAGGCAGGTCCACAAAGTTACCCAGGAAGTTGAAGGCAATGGAAACACTGAGCTGGAAGAGCTGCTGAATGGAAGTCACAGCCTCCTCCAGAGATAGAGTCTTTGACGTATCTTGTTCCTGGTGAAGAAATATAAAGATTTATGATGGGATGGCCACCAGCCCATGGGGCCTGTTATGGATGGACAAAGCTGGACAATACCTGCTTTTCACCAGTGGGCTGAGGCTGGGCTGGCTTTGCCTCACCCTTGAAGTTACAGCTGGCACACAGGAAGCCAATGTTACTGAGACCTGCAGCAAAATGGTTGACATCCCATCACCATTGGCACAACTGTCCTTGCCACTCCCATTCCCCACCACCTTCTTTCTGCTGGTTCTAGAAGGTAGAAACCTACCTTCCTCAGAGGAATCCTGGAGACCAGCTGCTGTCAGGGAGCTGAGAGAGGAAGGGCTCTCGCGTGGAGGGCAGGGCTCTTCCTGACTCAGCCTGGGTTCCCTGAGGCCAGGGTGTCTGGGAGCTGGGCTATCAGGGCTGGGGAGAATGTGCCTCCGCAGGGCTGGAAAGGTCAGCAAGAGCAGTCAGGTCAGCCAAGCTTGAGTGATTGCTCCCTGAGGTTTTGGGAACCAAAGGAAGAGTTTGGAAACAGCTCCTCCTCCATTTCCTTTGCTGGCTTCATGCCACAGGGGTCGAGAGGGGACCACATTTATGCTAACCTCCCTCCCTCAACATAAATCACTCTTCTGCTTGAATCCTTAGTGGCAGGGCAGTTTCTATCTAATGTACTGTTGTGCTCCCAGCACTTTGTTTGAGGGTAACATTGATAATGATTTTAATGAGCATAATAAAAACTTAAACTAGTATATATTGAGCATGTACTATGTGCCAGGCACTATTCTAAATCCTTGATATTATTAACTCATTTAGTCCCCCATAAAACCTATGATGTGAATTTTATGATATCCCATTTTCATCAATGAAGAAATCAAGGCACAGGGAAGTTAAAGGCATCTTGCCTAGGCACACAAACCACTCTGGGGCTTGACAGTCTGGCCCTGACAATCTGACTCCAGAGCCTTAACTGCCAGGCTGCATTCCCTCTCTACCATGGCACATAATAGCTGCTCATTAAAATTCATTTATTAAGGAATGACTGGCCAGAGAATGATCCAACTTGCTGAGGGATAGGCAGGAAGTCACACCCAGATCGAAAGTAACCTGGAACCCTATGAGGTTCTCTCCAAGGAAGGTGATGGGAGGACACTGAGGGGTAGGTGTGGCACACTCTGGGTGGATAGGACATTCCCCTTCCTGACTCCAGATAGGAAAGGCAAGGAGCTGCTGATGGCTCTTTTCCTGAGGTGTGTCCCAGCGATGTTTCCTGACCAGGCGAAACTCCCAGCCCATCCCTGCTATCCCTGGGACTGAGAACTCACAGAGTTGTGGGAGCCACCAGGGAGAGGAGAGGAAACCGTCCAGGGGACTGTGCCAAGAGCAGCGCTCCACTCTCCGAGGTCCTGCTGGCAGGGATGCCTGGAAGTGAATCTGCCTTGCCAGCTGCAGGGCCAGCACGGCCAGAGTGCCCTGGAGAAGACAGTACATCAGCAACACAAGTCTCTATCAGTCACCTCCTTCAATCTCAGCCTTCAGCTCAAACACCAGTGTCTTGAGAAGCCACGTGATGCTGGCTGGAGCAGCTCCCCTACTACATACACTTACAGCATTCAGTCTTCTCTGAAGCCCTATTAAACTGGCACTTCAATAATCATCTCAAATTATTCATCTAGGCTTTGCCTTTTGTGTTAGTGCCAAACTACTATGAGGGCAGGAGCTGTGTCTATTTTGCTCACCAAGGTATCCCCACACCCTTACAGCACTAAGATAAGCACTAGCACATTCATGCTGAATAGATATATGAACTAGTGACAGAATATACAGTCTAAGAGGACAAAGTGATCCGGCGGTATGTTAGGGCTTGACTACAAATATAACAACAGGTCAGAGTTTCCCATCAGGCTCACTCTTTCTCTAGCCTGGCACAATTCCTCCCTTCCCCCTCACCAAGCCACCCTGCTAAATACAGTCATAGATGTAGGCTTGCTGAGGCCTTTCTTGGTTCCTGGTCTACAGAAGACCTAAGCTAGCTGCTTCCCAGTGACTGCTTGGTTTTCCCTTCCCTTCCTGGGCATAACAATTTTTTTGTTGTTGTTGCAACAGGGACTGTGTATGGTGGCAAACAAATCAGAAACACAGAGTTTATATCTTCATTGAGGGAGAAAGATAAACTCCAAGTACAAGTTTTGCTCACTGTCAAAAATGAAACAAATTGGGGATATATATGAGTGGTAGAAGATAACCTGGTAAGACAGAGTAAGGGAAAGTGTCTCTGGAGTGGTAACTCTGTGTGAGTGAGACCAGGAAGACCAGGTGCCAGCACTAGCAATAACTGGGACGCATATCCATTGCATTGGGAACAGCTGGAGCTCAAGCACTTTCACATTGACAGCAGTGACAGCGCTGAGGGAGGGCCTCCGGACCTCTGAGCTTCAGGCCCAATTTCCAGAAGGTTTTCCTGGGAGGTCTCTCTAGGGCTCAGATCTTTGGCAAAATGGGGAAAGGTTCCCCTGTCCTGGGTATGGGATGCCCTCTTCCCGACTGCTCACAGAGAAGTGTCCCTGCTATGTAGATAATCCCCTGCCTCTGCTGCTGACACCCTCTTACAGAGGAGAATACTAAAACTCGGAGGGATCAAGGTACTTGCTCAAAGTACAGGGCATAAAATGACAAGGATGAGAAGTGACAGACATGGAGTAATGTGTGTGCCAACTGCATACAGAATACCTTATAAGCTGAACCTAGAAGGCAGAAATTCTGCCTATTAGACCTAGTGTTCATTTCCAAGCACCAGACTTTATGTCAGAGTCAACAAATATTTACTGAGCAGGTATTATGACCAGGACATCTGTACTAAGTGTTTTTGCAAGCATATTAAGTGGGAAAGGTAATGCATATATAGTACTTTGCACTAATAAACGTTAGCTATTTATTATTATTTATTGTAAGCACTGTGAAGACAAGAATCTTACCTACCTTGTTCTCTGCTATGTATCCCCAGTGCCTGAATCAAAAATGCCTGATTCAGAGGTGTTTCTTGAATGAAAGGAGGAATAAAAACATAAAGCAACATCTTCCCTAATATGTTCCAATGCCATGGTGACTCAAATTTTGAGTGTGAGCATAACGATGGCCCAGCTCTTATTTCTGAGTTCTACTTCCATAAAGGTAGGAAGTCTTACCCATGATATGGCATCCCACAGCGTATTTGAGGAGACACGGGCTGATACCCACTGGAAAGCATCCTTCCATCGGTGTGACCTTGGACCTCTGCTCGAGCCTGGACCTGGGCCATGGGGACCTGACCTAGATGATGCAATCAATAGACACTATCAAGTTCAGTCCCAGGTGTGCGAAGAGGAAGGCCTGGGGAGACTGAGGGTGGAATGGCAGTATCTTACCTGTTGATGTTGGGCGCTGGGATCAAGAAAGTAGAGGAGGTAACCTGAGGCCCATCTGGGGCGGTGGACTTGGGGTTCACACCCCGGAGGCCAGGTCCCAGCAGCCGGGCAAGAGCTGTGCAGAGCAACAAGGACAGTCACGTCAACAGGAACAGGGCTGAGACCATGGCGTCCCACCAATCTTCCCTGAGATGCTTGATAGAGCCCCACCCAAGAAGCCCAGGAATGGCTGCCATGTGCTTCCGCGGAGGCCCTTAAACAAGGGCACATGCGGCCGTCAATATATTACCTAGGACAGATTCTAAGGTGCCAGCCCAGAACCAACAAAGAAAAATCATTCAGAGTGGAGCACATATATATTTTAAAAAGCTCCCCAAGTGATTCTGGTGCCCTCCTAGAGCTGACCACTGCGACCCTAAAATGACCTGACATTCGTACACCAAGAAATGCTCAATGTTTGAAGCGCTTTGTCACAAATCCCCGCCACACTGGCCCGGCTCACGTCACTGACCTCTGCCCATCTTTCACTGACTCCAGTCCCGCTATTTGACGTTTATCCTTTCCCAACAGCTTCCCGCCCAACAACTGGCATCTAAGCTCCTCCTATTCCACAAACCCCACCCACCCCAAATCCCAAAACGGCCCCAGACTTCTGGGTGTAGACACGCCCCTGGGGCCCCGCCTTCACGGGGACCTAGCCCCGCCCACCACAGCTAGGCTGGCTCCTCCGGAGCGCCCCCTCTTCAGGGTAGGAGTTTCAGCAGCTTCGGGGCTCCCGCTCCCACGTCCCTCACCTCGGCCCGGGAGACCCGGGAGGCGCCACATGTCCCCAGCACCATAGAGAGCGCGCAGCCAAACAAGGGAGGAGAGACCACGAGAGAGCGGCTAGAGCGCCCGCTGCGGCGCCCTCCGAGTGGCCGCGTCCCTGAGGAAGCACCGGCCAGCCAATCAGAAAGGAGCCCCGCCGGAAGGACGGCGCTTGGGCGAGGAAGTGGGGGTGGGGCCTCTGTCGGGCTTGCGGGGAGCTGGACTTTGACAAGGGCATGGGGCTGTGGACCCTGCTTCCCGTGCCAGAGGTGTCATTTGCCAAGGAGTGGGGCAAGCGCGGAGGAGAGGCGGGTAGCTAGGTGGCGGGGCTGGACCGCCCCGGAAGCACGACCATTGAAAAGTGAGGCTAGAGCGGTCTGGCGGGCGCAGGAGGACCTTGCAGGCACGGTGGAGCCCCGAACCAGGAACCGTCTTCCCCAGGCCTAAGGCCGGAGGAGGTGGGGTAGCCGAACCCGATGAGAGGGGAAAGGGAAACAGTTTCCAGTTTCCTAGTGGTCCAGGACCAGACATGCTTGGAGACGCAGGACCGGGCTGACTAAATGAAAAACCGCACGGCAGTACTCTCATCCCGGGATGCCAGCTCGGGTGCAACTTATTCTCAATCTGCAGCCCCCTGGCCTACCTCTGCCTCTGTCCAGTCCTCAGTCTGCGCAGTGATGAGATTTGATGGAATAATCTTGGCTTCCACATGGTTTGACTGGAACAACTTGAGTCGCTGCTATAAGAGGAGTCTCCTCCCCGAATGCACTTGCCTGTTAATGAGACACACAATTAATGTTAATCTGTGTGAGCTCTCATGGGGGGGGGGGAGCCCCTCATTTACCATATACTTCAATCCGTGAAATAAAGCAGCTAAAGTTTAAACGTAAAGTTTAGACTTCCTTTTGTTTCCCCCCAGAATGTGACTTTAAGTGGATGAAAGTCTGTGGGTAAACGAGTACTACGGGCACCAACTTTTATACATAGCCATGTGCTATAACAGTTAATTTGTTCTGTTTTTTGAGCTATGCCTCAGCTACCATCCTAGAATTAGATCAGAAAAGAGAATTTGCGGTCTCCAAGAAAACAGACAAGTGGTTTAACACTGACTTCTGGAGTATTACAAATCTAGAGTTTGAATCCCAGCTTTCTTCCTTCCTATCTGCTTCACCACTTTAAACCTCAGGGTTTTCATGTAAAATAGGAACCATAATACATGCAATTGTATAGTACAGTACATTTTAAATGTTTATCATAGCTCTAGAACATAGTAAGAGACAAATAAATGTAAGCTACTATTAATTGCACTGGTAGAGGAGGTGAGTGGGCAAGTGTAATAATGTTCCAAAGTATGAACACAGGGTTACGGGATACTGCAGGAGGACTCATAGCTATTTGCGTTTGAACTGAACCTTTAAATCTGAGTAATAGAGTTTGCCAAAGAGATGGAAGAAAAGCATTGCACACAGAAGAAACAATAATAAAGTCCCAGAAGTAGCCACTTCTCACATTCCTAGTGTTGCTGCCTCAAAATAAAATAAAAAGCATGCTGATTCAAATCTGTTCCTACTGGGACTTCTGTACTCTTCTTCCTTTCAGGCTGTGTGGAGTTCCTTTCATTCCTCAAGTCTTGGTCACGTCCAGCTCTTCACTGACGGCACCTCAACTGTTTGAACCTTATGCTTTTCCCTATGCCTGTAGCATTTAATTTCTTACCATTGAATCTGGCAGTAATTATATGTTGTCCTGTTCTTTAATTATTTGTGTAAGTCTAGTCTCCCTACTTCTCTCCCTCGGGGCAGGGATGGCATTTTCCCATTTTGCATCCCATATTGGGCTTGACATAAGGTGTCAGCTCACAGAAGATGCTCAGACAATGACTGTTGACTGGATGACTTGTGCTGATGGTGATTACAGGAAAGAGCTCCAGACCCCATCATAGGATTTATTGATTTGAGTGGAATGTATTCATTCCACATGTAAACACTGAGGGCTTTCCATGTTTGAAGTTAGTTGAAAATGTTAAAGATGAAGAGTCTTGTTCCCATATATAAAATGGCGTTATGATGAAATGTCCCTAAAGGTCTGAAAACACTGAGAGAACACTTGTGTGAGGAGTCTTCACTAGCATAGCAGGAGACAGCAACATTGTTCCCTTGCCTTACACTAAGCCTGAACTTCCCAGGTGCAAGCCATAGGCCATTTTCTTCTGCTCCCAGCACTGCTCTGTGTTGTCAGCTTGAGGCCCAAAGTCAAGGTGACTCAACCCCTTTACAAAGGAAAGCTAACTTATTCAGGGAACCCAATGACCAGATACCCAGTTAATCACTTTTGTGGATGCCACTGTATACTCACCAGTGAATGTTGTAGGCATTTGTTGTCTTTTCTGGAGGCATTCTTGATTTGCATAAGTCAAATATGTGAAAGCTTATTCTGTGCTGAAGAATGTCCTGAGTATATAAAACTTTTTTTTTTTTAGATGGCTGTGGTCCCTGCCCTCACAGAAAAATAGTCTGGCACGGAGAACAAACTTAATAAACAATTAAACAGTATGATGTTTTCACTGTTTTTTGTAGCACAACACTTCAGAATGTAGTGACTTGAAACAATCCTTTTATTGTTTTGTTTAGTTCTGTGAATTGACTGGGCTTAGTGAGGCAGTTCTGTTGGTCTCACGTGGGACGTGGTGAGGTTTCTAGTCAGCAGCTGGGGCTGGTGTCATCTGAGAGTTCAGCATGCACACTGCAGAGGCTGAGCCTCTTTCCTACTTCATATCAGGCCCTACGTGGCCACTCACCATTTCTTAAATGGTGGCTCATCTTCTAAAAGTATAAAATTAGCAAAAAATAGGAAGTACTAAAGTGGAAATTGCCAGGCCCATGCACTAACACTTCTCGTGCCCTCTGTCAAAGCCACTGTCAGCCCAGAACCTGTGGGGGAGAAATACACAGGGCAGGAGTCCTGAGAAGTGTGATTCTTCACAAACTAGCACATGCTTTTGTGGGAGAGACGGGGTAGGGGAGAACACAGTGCTATGGGAAAACCTAGGGGAGGCTCATAATCTAGGGGTGTAAGGCAGGAAGATTTCCTGAAAGCAGTCACATCTTAATTGAATAATGAGGACTAGAATCAAGTCACTTGAATAAAAGAAAGGAGAACACAGTTCAGGACAGGGGAAACAGCTGGTACCAAGTGCTAAAAAGGAACAGAGAACAAAACTCAGACCGTGTGGCTAAAGCTGGTGGGGGGAATTGGGGGAGTAAAGATAGAGGTGAGCGGTGGCACACCACTCACTAGACTATAGTGACAGCCCTATTGTCTAGACATATACTTGGAGCCATCATAAAGTCTTACAAGTCCCCAAGATGTCTGGACTTTGTCCTGAGGGCACAGAACACCAAGGAAGGAAGCAGGTGGAGTGAACAGGGCAGAATATCTGGAAAAGGCTACTGATGCTGGGAGATGCAGGTGAACTGCAGCTCTCATTTTCTACCTCTCTCTTTTAGCCAGGGACCTCGCCATCACTGAGAAGACTGAGCCATCAACTCCACATTGATGTCAATCTCTTTGCTTTTCATTGGGGGAAATATATTATTTTAAAAAATGGAAGGGGCCTCCTGCTGGTGCAGGAGTTAAAGTCATTGTTATCAAATTACCACCAGCCACTGAGACATGAGTTTAACTCCCAGCCAGGGAGCTGACCCACATGGCCCATCAGACCTCTCCTGTCTTGCCCTCTGTTCCCCTTAGCAGTATATTTCAGTAGATCCACCTCTTCTGTCTCTGTCTCTGGGTGAATTCTCTCAACCCCCACACCTCTGGTCTACACCCCAGTTCTTGAATGCATAAATAAATAAAAATAAAAAGTTGAAAATTGAAGCCCCTCTGTAAAATTGTGTGTGTGTCTTTTGACTTTAAAAGGACATGTCATAGACTTGTCATAGCTACCCAGTGAATCTGGACATGAGGTTGGTCAGGTGGTCAAACCATTTATGCCAAAGTGTGAAGTGTGTTAAGGAAGAAGTTGCCTCCCAGAGCAGGGAACATGTCAGACAGTGATCTACACCCCTAAGTTAAGTTGAAAGAGCACCTAGTCTAGTAAAAAGTTCAAAGTACTAAAAACTTACAACAAAAGACAGCAGCCCCCCTACCACCATCCGGTCCTTCTTCCTAGAAGCAACCATTTTCAACTCTCTTGAAGTTCCAGGAAAAAGCACCAAAGAGCAAGGATCTGAACTGGATTGTCTGGGGTCTAACACAGCCCTCCCACCTACTTGTTAGTTTACTTTGGTCAGGGGAATTATAGTGTCTTTGCCTCAGCTTCCTTCCCTATAAGACTGGCAAAGTGAGAGAATGACCATCGTACCCTTCTCATGAGCAAACACAGACCCTGGCTGGCATATGGCCAAAAAGTGAGCATGGGCAGAAGGGTCTAACTCGAGAGCCACTGTGAGTACAGTGTGACTGTGAGGCATGATGTGAGTTAGAGGAAATGGCAAGAACAGAGGCTCATTAGGAAAGGTCTGTCTCTTCTCTTTGTTCTAACGCCAAATGCTGTGTTTGCTCTCAGTCCCATTCCCTTCCTGTCTCTTCTAGAACCTTGTCTCTATAATTATCCTGGCCCTCATGCCAAAGCATACATTTCTTTACTAGTGTTTTTCCTTCCGCCTATGAAATATACACAGGCCTTTCCTATGTTGAGGGGAAGATTGTTTATTTGATCCTCCTGCCCCTTTCAACTACCATTCTGTTCCTTCTCTCTATTGCCAGATTTCTTAATTAACACACATGCTGCCTTCCATTCCTTCTCGACACCCTCGCTTTTCAACTTTGTCTCCTGGCTGCCATTGCTGTTCTTTTGACACAGCTGTCACTAGGCTCATCAAAAACCACCTTGTTAACCACCAGTGGCCTTTGTTCAGTTTCTCTCCTTCACTCAAAGCACCTGATGCACTGGGCACTCACTTTAAACGTCACACAGAAAACCACCTCATCACCCCACTTCCTTATTTCTGTCAGTGAAATCATTTCCCCCAAGCCACTCGAGAGAAATCTTGAACTCAACACCCCTCTCTCCCCCACATTAGTTTTGTTCTTTTTGTAAGTATTAGACC